CACTGGCCCTCATATGTGGGATCTGAACCGGAGCCCTCTGGCATCCCAAGCCAGCTCTTAACCAACACGCCACTCGGCCGGCCTGATGTGTGGCGTTTTAAGCATTGTCAATGTGCATTTTGGTCACACGCCTTCCCCTGACTCAGTGATGGGGCTTCTGTTACTCTGAGTTCCCAAGTGACTTTTGATAGCAAAGCTCCCACTGCCAAGCCATGCTGGACATACAAGTATAATATGAGCAAGAAATATACCTTTTGTTACATTGAGATTTGAGAGGTATTATTGCAGCAAAACCTAGGCTATTCTGACTAAAACACTCCTTTTTTCTAGAGTTAGAGATTACCAATGCATAAGGACTGAATAATGAAATGAAAATGTATATGGATGTGTAAAATAAAGTACCTGGAACCTCTCTCTGACACATAGTAAGCCCTCAATAGACCATACATCACTTTCTGTATCTGCTCTTAATAAATGACCATGGAATTTTCATATTTTTCACATACAAATAAAGACTGGTTGTAGAAGTTGTAAACAGAAGGCAACATTCTGGGCTCACGCTATTCTTAATCCTTGTGACTTTAGAAATTTCATTGTCACTTTCTCCCTCAAATACACAAAAAAGCCCTCCAATTGGCTCTTCTTGAGTCATATACCTATCCTACTGGGGGAGGTGAAGCCAAGTGACTTATGATTAAACCACCTTTACTACAAGATAGGGAGGAGCAGTTCCCCAAAGGAAAAAAAAAACTGTGTTTAACTGCCCGAAAGAGGAAGGATTGCTGGGCAGGTAGAAAAAAAAGTTATCTACCTAGTCAAAATGAACTCAGATTTAGAACCCTGGTTGTATCACTGATTAGCTGTGTGTGAACTTGGGCACCACTGAATCAGTCTGTCCATATGCAAAGTCGGGATAGTATTTACTTTGCAGAGTTGTTTAAGGATTAGAAATAAGGTATTACTACAAGAGCCTAGTAACTTGCCTGGTACCTAATGGGCCCTCAATAAACAGTAACTTTTAAAAACTAAATGCTCAAGATTTCCTACTATTGAATTCTGAGTTCCAATACCCAAAGAACAAAGGCTAGGAAAAGACAACTATAGCCATAATAAACAGAGTATAAAACAAAGTATGTTACAAATAAGAGTTCCATTTAACGGTAAAGTGTTTACAAGCTTCAGCAAGCCTCTAAGGCTCACCTTTAGGCTCAGCTGTTCCTGGTACACACAAGGCGCAGAGCAGTCAGGTAGGCCAAACCCAGCTAGTCACTCAGCAGAAGCCTTAAGTTAAGGATGCCCTAGAGTCCTGGCTTCAGACATGGTTCTAGGCATCCCTCTATTGTTCAAAGGTGACTCAGAGCTCAGTTTTTTTCAGAGCCTCATTTTAAAACACATTTAAATGAATATAATTCAGCACTGAACCTGCATATTCAATCTTCTTGTGTTTTTGCCAACAACGTATCTTCTTCCTTGGAAACAATCTGCTTTGTATCAGAGAACATTTTCAAAGGTGTTTTAGCTGTCCTTTATTTAGTCATCAAACATTTACTAAGTGTATGCTGGGTGATAGGTGTCAAGATAGAGGTGGTCAATTTAATCGAGGGGCAGAGATGCAGCAAAGTGCTATAGAGATTGGTTATGATGAATCTGTGCAGGGAGTCAGCAGATGAGGAAAAGAATCAAAGATATGAGCTGAATCTTGGGTGGAAACAAAAAGAATGTACCAGAGACAAGGGAAGAAAGGCATTCTAGGCAACAGTACAAGCAAATGAGAAGAAACGGATATTTACAGCTTAATATTTCTGGGATGCACTTCACTGACACTGGAGGGGGTTAGGCATGGTTGGAAATGAGGCTAAAGAAGCAGTCAGGGGCCACATCATGAAAGTGGAGGTGCAGCATGTTAGAAGGGCAGATAACTCTGAAAGCTGATAAGCATGGTGGATTAAAGCACTGGTTCTTTTTAAAGATTTTATTGGGGAATTGGGGAAGTGGAACAGCCGAATTGTTGTCCTTCAATCTTAGTTGTGGAGGGCACAGCTAGCACAGCTTCAAGTCCAGTTACCATCCGGCTGCCCGTCAGAGCAGCTCGTGGCCGCTCAGCTCAAGGTGCCATGTTCAATCTTAGTTGCAGGTGGGCGTAGTCCACCATCCCATGTGGGAGTCGAACTGGCAACCTTGTTGTTAGGAGCACATGCTCTCACCAGCTGAGCCATCCTGCCACCTGTTGGCATCTCAGCTCAGGCGCAGCTCACTGGCCCATGTAGGAATCGAACCAGCGACCCTGTTGCTCAGAGCTTGCACTTTTTTTTTTTAAAGAAAGTTCTTTTCATTTTTTAAAGATTTTTTTGGGGAATTAGGGGATGGGAACAGCGCAGGGGAATTGGGGGAAGGGGAACAGACAAGTTGCTGTCCTTTTGTTCTTCAGTCTAATTGTGGAGGACATTGCTTCACTGGCCCAAGTCGGCACCATCATTGCATTCTTCCCAGGTGAGGCAGATCAGTCGCCGGCTTCTGGACGGCCGCTCACNGGCCGCTCACGCTGGCTGCTGGCTACACATGGTAGCCCATGGCAACCCACTGCAGCAGGGGCTGCAGCCTATGCCTTCGCCGACAACTCCAGGTTGAGCTGTTGTTCAGCATCTTAGCTGTAGCGGGCAGTGTCACTGGCCCTCATAGGTGGGATCCGAACTGGAGCCCTCTGGCGTCCCAAGCCAGCTCTTAACCAATGCGCCACTCGGCTGGCCCCGGAGCTCGCACTCTTAACCAGCTGAGCCACTTGGCCGGCCCCAAAGCAGTGGTTCTTAATGTCTCTTGGGTTGTAGACTTTTTTAAGAATGTAAAAAGGTATGGGACCTTTCACCATGAAAAGGTACATGCACTTAGACACAAAATATTCCTTACAGTTGCGTGGACAGGGGTAAGACAGGGAATCAACTGCAACAATTAAGATGAGACATGACAAGGTGTGAATTAAGCCATGGCACCAGGGACAGAAAAGAGACAGATGTGAGAAACAGAAATATGGTTGAGTGTTATCAACAGATCTTGTCACAAATTCTATTTGAGAAATGAGGGAAAGGCATGAATCTCAGATAACTCCATTGTTTTGTGATTTAGAAAACTCAGTAGTAGGTAGTGTCACTCATGGAGAAGATTAGGCTTCAGAAGAGAAGATAAATAGGTCAAAAGTGCCTTTAGACTTATTTTACTTCGCGTAATATCCTCTAGGACCATCCATGTTGTTGCAAACAGTAAGATTTCATTCTTTTTTATGGCCCTGAAGAGCAAAATAAATGAACAAAAAAACCAGAAACCAATTCATATACACAGAGAATAAAACTCATGGTTACCAGATTGGGGGGTAGGGTGGGGTTTGGGAGCAGGGTGAAAAAGGTGAAGGGATTAAGAAGTACAAATTGGCAGTTACATAATAGTCACAGGAATGTAAAGTAAAGCATAGGGATAAAAAAATAGGTGGGGGCAGCCAGTTAGCTCAGGTGGTTAGACTGCAGGCTTATAACACCAAAGTTGCCGGTTTGATTCCCACATGGGCCAAGAAGCTGTGCCCTGCCACACTGAAGGCAACTACTTGACTTGGAGCTGATGGGTCCTGGAAAAACACACTGTTTCCCAATAAAATTTCTAAAAAAAAAAAATACAGTAAATGTTTAAAGTAAAAAAATTTATTACACTAAAAGACAGATTGCCATTAATCCCCCTCAAAATATTCCCCCTCACTTCAAACACACCTATCCCATCGTTCTTGCCACTTTCTGAAGCAGTTCTGGAAGCCTTCTTTCATGAGTGTCTTTATTTGGGCTGTCATGGCTGCCTCAATGTCCTGAATCAATTCAAAACGTTTACCTTTCATGGTCATTTTGACTTTGGGGAAGAGCCAGAAGTTGCATGGTGCCAGATTCAGTGAATAAGGTGGATGACACACTGTGATGTTTTTATTTGACAGAAATTGCCATGCTATTGTAGAAGCGATATATGACATGAGCGTTGTCATGATGGAGGATGAAGTAAAGACAACCATGAAAGAGGACTTCCAGAACTGCTTTAGAAAGTGGCAAGAACAATGGGATAATTTTGTTCAAAGTGAGCGGGAGTATTTTGAAGGGGATTAATGGCAATGTGTCTTTTACTGTAATAAAGTTTAAAAAAAACAAAAACTAAACATTCACCATATTTTTCGATCATACTTTGTATGTTGCTAGGTGGATACTAGACTTATTGGGGGATCGCTTCTTAAATTATATAAATGTCTAACCACTGTGCTGTACACCTGAAACTAATATAATATTGAGTGTCAACTGTAAATGAAAAATAAAAATTCAAAAATATATATACTAAAAAAGAAGTAGGGCCGGCCGAGTGGCGCGTTGGTTAGGAGTTGGCTTGGGACGCCATCTCTGAGCAGCAGGGCCCCGGTTCAGATCCCACATGAGGGCCAGTGAGGCTGCACCCTCTACAAGCTAAGATGGTGAACAACAGCTTGACCTGGAGCTGGGCTGCCGTGAGTGGCCAGCGATGGCATAGGCTGTTGGTGGGGCTGGCCGGCAGCTGGCGTGAGCTGCCGTCCAATGGCCGGTGAGCGACTGCCTCACCCGGGAAAAGCTTAATGATGATACCAATATGGGCCAGTGAAGCGACATCCTCCACAACTAGACTGAAGAACAAAAGGACAGCAACTTGTCTGTTCCCCTTCCCCGATTCCCCAATGCTGTTCCCTCCCCCAATTCCCTAATAAAATCTTTAATAATAATAATAAAAAAGTTGGTACTATTGTGTGGTTGAGTTTTCTACTTGACTTAAGAGGCTAATGTATAAAAAAAAATTTGAGTCTGTGTTTTGGGACACACAATGCANTGGGCCAGTGAAGCGACATCCTCCACAACTAGACTGAAGAACAAAAGGACAGCAACTTGTCTGTTCCCCTTCCCCGATTCCCCAATGCTGTTCCCCTTCACCAACTCCTCAGTAAAATCTTAAAAAAACAACAGTACCTTTTAAACACCCAAATAAAGAAGTTCAGCAGGAAGCAAAATATGCCCTTCCATTTGATGATTCTTGTGCTGGCTCACTTGCCCTGATATTCACCTACAAACAGGCTCCAAATCTCTGTGCATTGAGACAAGTATATCCTCCATTTGCAAAAGGGATCCAGATATGAAAGAAGAAATTAAACTGCACACATCCAAAATTATTTCACATTAATTTTTACTAAAAGAATAGACTTTTATTAAGCACTGTAAGTTTCTTTCCAACAGCATTATCAGAACAACAACCAATTTCCATCACAGAACAACTCCTGAGACATTTTCATTCTTTTCTGAAATACTTCCATTAACTCCTGCAGTTTCCCCTAAGAAGCATCCATTCAAACTTACATTAATAAACTATGGAGCTTTTGTGGTGAGGTGGGCCAAAAAGGCAGGGAATTTGGAATCTGGGAGTGGGAAAAAGAAATACAGATTATCCACCCACTAAACACACTGTCAAGGGCACAGGAGAAGAGATATTAACACAGAAAGAAACAATGAAAGAATTTCTTACTTTTGTCAATAACATCGTTTATCAGGGAGCACAAAACATCATTGACTCCTTGCAGTTAAAGTTTCTTTACCTAGTATGTTTGTTATTCTAAAAATAGAATAAAATAAAAGGTGGGAGGGGACATGTCTTCTGGGAAGTAACTAAAATGAAGTCACCAGATTTGGCGGGGTTATGAGAGATTAATGAAATATGAAATATTAAATTTGCTTCATTTACATGAAAATTCACTAGTCATTAGTTACTAACAACTTGGAGAAAAAGAGCATCTATAAAATATAAAAGTACAAGGGCAATGTCAAAAGCTGAAATGGGCACCCTGGCACAGGGAGTATTTTGCTTTTAACTTGGAAAAGATGGTTTCATAAAAAATGAAGTTAATTTCTTAGAACATCAAAATAACCTCTGGCAATATTGAAGATAAATAGCAGTAATAGGGGAATAGGTACACTGAACTCTACCTGCACCAGCAGACTACTGCAATAAGCCAGGAGAAAAGAAAATGAAAAGTCAAACAAAAGAAGATGCCCAAGTCAGGAGAGGGAGAAAAATATAGGGTGACACACAATGGAACAGTGAAAAGTTACCCTCCCCCCCACCCCCGACACCCAAGCATATTTAGAAAATATGCATCAGGAAATGAACAAGTATAATGATTAAACCTTAGTAGAGTTATACTAACTACTTTAAACTGTGGTCTACTCGTATTGTCAGTTCCAAGGATGGGGGTCTTACAGGCTCAGAGGGTAGCACTGACATTCCCACAGGAGCCTTCCATGGTTCCAATGGACTTCCACAATCTTTCTACCCTACGTAAGCATTCCTCCCCCAACCCCCACCTTAACCATCCTCCCAAATGCCTTGTCTGGCTGTTTTTCTCAGTGATCAAAAAAAGTTAATGTGAAGTGGCAAGCAATGCCAGAAAATCAAGATGGAGACAAAAATCAAATGTCACTAGATGAAGGAAGTGCCATTTGTTGGGCTTTAAAGTTTACCCGAAGTCCTACTGGCTCAGAATGAAAACGATACAAGTGAGCAGAAGTTTGCCAGACCTGGTCCAGACCAGACTGGTCACTGAATACGGGTGGGAGTTATAGGCTGACCCCAAGGCACAGCAGCAGAAGTCAACAACTGCCAAGTCTTGGGGATCAGTGGCTATATACAACCAGGGGGCTTTTGCTTATGGCCCTAAAGGTAAAGGGGCCATTTCTGGGGGTTCCTGTATGACTTTGTTCAAGAGAGGCCACATCACAGAAATGGAACCAAGTGAAGGATGATAGCCTCTTCAAGTGGTACTCACAGCAAACATCAGATCTGCCTTTCCCAATTTGTCCTCCAGTGATAAACAGTCCACCCTCCAGTAATGATCCTTAGTCTTTCTGGCTTCTGAATTGTGTGTTTTGGCAGATAAATTAAAATATAGGAATATGGCCTGTCATGGTTCTTTCTAGTAAACTTCCAAATCCAAATTCCGAATCCAAGTAAAAGTCACGGTTGGAAGTGAGCCACTTGTTTCACCCCGGGCCAGCCTAGGATAAAGTGGAGATTTGTACAAGGGAGAAAAAGCAAGCCTTTTGGCAAACTGGAATCATCCCTGTCAAAGTAGCAACTGTATTTCTCACAGTGAATGCCTATAAAATAAGAAATCTGCGAGAGTTAACAATACTGTCATTTGATTGTATCAAATAGATTCAAGATGCACAGAAACAGCAACTGAAGAAAATACCTTTCCATATCACATATCACTCCAAGTACTTCCTATGAGAAAATGGAGAACTACAATAGAAAAGATTTAACACAGCTCAGCGACTCTGATTCCTTTTCGAGCTCCTAAGGATTCCTCCTGGCTGTGGCTCCAGAAAGAAATTTCCAAGCCATCTAAGTTCACTACTGCTGGATATAGAAGTCATAACCTTCAAGATGTTGCGAAAGGTTGGGCAGGTCCAAGAAGAGGGGGGACCAAATTCAGGGACCCAATTCCACAAACGAGATTTTTGTACACTTTGTTCCTGGTTATATTTGGCTTGGTGTGCATTCTTGTCATCCTGCTTTGGTTCATGTAAGAAGTGTCTGGGCAAGGGGGGAGGAATTCTAGAACTCCCTCCTGCAAATTGTAGGTTCTCTTAAACTGGGCCAGACTAGGATTAAACAGTCTGAGACTGTTTTCAATCTCTCATGACATGTAAGTGGGCAGTAAGCAAACAGCTGTCTGGTTGTCTGGGAAAAAAATCACCAAGGACCTGCAGTGGGTTAAAGTGCATGGGGTTTTTCAAAAAAAGAGAGAGAACCCTGCTAGAAGTCTAGTCAGTTGTACTCCTATAGAAATAGTACTTCTTGGGCAAAAATATCACAAAGCCCAAAGGAGGTGTGTGAGGCTGAAAGCCTCAATTCCTGAATGAAGACACAGTGCTAATCTGTTGCAAGCCATGTTCCCATCCCTCATACTTATAGACTGCTGAGGAGGGAAACTGGAAATGCAAGGTTGTTTTAAGAGTATCTCTGTGGAGGAGGAATAGCCTCTTTGTCCTGGGCAGATTCTGGCCACACTAGGGCCTGGGAATCTTTCACAAACTACCCCTAAAGGCCTGGGCCAGAGTTCTCTATAAAGTCTTCCTTGCAAAGCAAATGAAAAGATCCAGTAGTCAAAATGTCAGTGAACAAATGAAACAATCCAGGCATGTAAAATCAAAACTGTTGATTTCCTCGCACTTCCCCACCTGTCTTTCCAATGCTAGTCCACTCTCCTTCAGGGACTCATGGCAATCAATTCTAGCCTGAGGCCAGTTTGATCCTGGAGTTCCGAATGAGATTTCCTCCGAATTGGCTGCAAGGCCTGGTGATCGTCTCCCATCCCCTTTCTCTCTTTGATCTTGGCTGCTCCTTCATACGGAAATGCCCAAGTCTTTCCAATCCAGTTCCAACCTCCCGTTTTCACCATATGGGATGTGAGGGCTCTGTTCAAGATTAAGCTGGTGACAACCCAACTGTTGTTCTGAACAGGCAATCTCTGGAAAGTACTTTTTGTCTGCTTTAGAGAAGCCCATCCCTCTTCTCAGAATTGTGATGGGCAGTGACTTAGTAAGGATTTTAAAGTGTGGTCTTTTGAAACCCACCACTCCATTGCTATGGAAGCATTTCTGGGAAATTCAGTAAATCCTCTGGGACATCACCATGTATGTATGTATATATGTATGTATGCATATATCTATATGTAGATATATATGTACACACACACATATACATATATTTATATATATAAAATATGTATAGATAAATAGATCTGTCTCTTTATATAAAGGGTATGTGTATGCATATAGACACACACATTCATATATACATCCACCCATGCACCCATACACAAATGTGTGCACACACACACACACACACACACACAGAGTCTTTTGAGTTCCCTTTCGTACTCAGTGTCATTACATTGATTTCCACCCTTTCAGGGCGCAGGCAGCAGGGAGTGGGCGAACTGCGCCACATCAACTATTTTACAAACAATGCGTTAGTTCAGAGGCAGGAAAAATCTGCCTAGTACTTTTGCGACTCACTTGAATCCCCCAGTACAAAGGCCATTGGTAGTTTTTTTTTAAGTGTATAAAATAAAATAAAAATAAAAATAAAATAAAATAACCAATACTACCTCACTTCCCTGAAAACATCTACCTTTCTGATTGTCAGGCCAGAGCTAGAGGTGGTGGTACAAAATCCTCGGGTAGGTGGGGGAGTGAGAAGGAGGTGAATACTGATTACATACAAAGGTCCCACTACTTTATAGAGCAAAAAGTAACTTAGGAAGCCATAGGCAGGTGTCCCCACCACCTCATGGGTTTTGTAAGTGAGTATCATGATGAAAACTCAGAAAACCGAAGCTGGCACTTTTCTATATGTGGCCTTATGTGATGACACCCAAATTCTGACAGTCACTGCCTTACTAGGCTTCCAGAGGAGGTAAAGAGAATACTGGTACTCTATATTCATTTTGACAATAGGAGCTAGTCCTATTGCCATTTGTCTTTGACCAAAGCTTTCCCAGAAGAGACCACTAAGTCTGGTGGCCCAGAAAAAGACAGGGAAGGGGAAAAGATGGACACAATAGGACAGCCCAACAAAATCCCGGATAAATCTGGTGTAAGTATTTATGTCGTCCTCTAACTTGGGCCTAAAATCAGAAAAGTATGTTTTCCCCTCTTCCTGATCTGGTAAAGCCATCTGCAGCTTGTTATTCCTCTTTTTCTCGTGCCATAGTTCCCAGTTTTTGCTCTCGCAAGCGGCTCTTCCCTACATTCTTCATGGGGAAGTAGCGGTTACCATTATTACACATGCTGCTGTCTCTGGATAAGGCACACAGGGATGGAGCTGGAAGATGATGATCACTCTTCTCTTCCTTGATCAATGTGACATTGCCTCCATTTACCTGTGAGCGGGACCGACTCTGATTAGGCTCCAGGGATTTAGAAACTCCATCTGAAGTGCCCTGTATCAAAAACAGAGATACTCAGTGGAAACGGTAATCCCAAATGGCTGACCCTTCCCAAGCATGTTCATAAACTAGCTTGTGGAAGCTGCTTCAGTTCTTCAAAGACACCAGAAAGCCCAAAGCTTGTTACTTAGGGTGAGAACTTAGGGTGACAAGAGATTGATCCGACCGAAATCCAGTGGCAAGGACAACAGCACAATAATGACACAGCTACCATTTATGAAGCTTTACAATAGATTTTTCTAATACTAATAGGGACCCTAAGTGGTAAATATTATGATGCCCTGTTTACAGATGAGGCACAGAAAAATTAAAGTAACTTGCTCAAGAACACCCACATAGAAAACAGTGGGACCAGGATGGCACTCCAGGTCAGTCAGCCTCTAAAGTGTATTGTCTTAACTGCCTCGAAGCGGACATCCGGACATGTAAATGAAAGAAAACAAACCATGAGATCTAAGTGCGATATTCCACACAGTCTTTCATAACTAAAACCACATCTGGGGCCAGCCGAGTGGCTCAGTTGGTTAAGAGCTCACTCAAGAGTTTGAGCTCTGAGCAACAGCGGTTCAATTCCTGGCCCCAGCTGAGCTGCCACTGAGCTGCCAACAGGTAGCAGGATGGCTCAGCTAAAAATAAATGAATAAATGAATAAATAAATACAACCACGTCTGTTTTTCTTTTAATTCCAGGAAGGTGACTCTATTGAAATGCTAATAACAAAAACTGCATTACCTTGCGGCGGAGTGCTGGCTCTCAGTGTTAATAGGAATACTAACAGCTTGATTACTAGGCGGTTGGGCATGCCAGCTACTCTGTTGTTCATTTTACAGATAAGATAAGTGAGGCTCAAAAAAGTAAAATGACTTGTCCAAGGTCACTGGCATGCCTAGACTTGTATCCAAATCTGTTTGACTCCAAAGGCCTTGTTCTTTCCACTAAGATACAATACACAATGGAAATCTAGTTCCTGTTGAATTTGTGGTTAATTATAAATAACTACTAATTTTTATTGAGCACTTCTGGTTTTCCAGGCCCCATGCTAAACTTTACATATATCATCTCATTTAACACTTGTAATGACTCTGTGAGGTAGATACCAATTTCTCCAATTAACATATAAGAAAACCAAGGCACAGAGAGGTTAAGTAACATGTTCAAGGTCCCCGAACTGGTAAGTGGCAGAGCCAGACTCAAAGCTAGATCATTTGGCTCCAAAGCCTGTACAACACTGGGGCTACTGTGAACTGCTGCTGAAGAATCTGGAGATAAAATGAAACTAGTAAAAATCCACACAATGGATAGAATTAGCCACCCGAGGGAGCTAACAAAGAAAGTAGAACATTACAAATAAGTGACAAGAATTTGAAAACACACTAAACTCCAGAGGCCTAGGAATACTCTCAAGAAGACATGACTATACTGTAAGCAGATTTAATACGCTGGAACAATGAATTATCTCATACTTTGAAGAAAGGGTGACTGAACAGCAAAAGGAGAGTCAACAAGGCAATCTGCAGCAGCTCTGTCTAGAGAAGATGACTTCGCTGAAAACAAAGTCAGCATGAGGATGGCTTTGGCCAAGCTACCTCTACAGTAGATAACAGTGTCCCCAGAAATCTTAGCCAAGAGAAATAGGATCATCAGCTATCTGGTGTTTTCCCTCAGTTGCCTCATCTCTGAAAGAGAATAATAGTACCTATTTCACAGGTTCTTATAAGGATTCAATGAGATCCTCCATGTAAAGCACTTAGAACATGGTGTGCCTGGCACTCTGTAAGAACTCAACAAATGCCAGCTACTATTACTGTTCTGATTCCATGTCCCCAAGCAAACTTCTGACACAGTGGCCTCCCTTGCAGCTTGCACTTTGAGAATGAAAGCTCTGGTAGACATGGTTAAGAGCACAGTCACTAGAGTCAGTCAGGCCTAGGTCTGGCTCTTGTTTCTAACAATTACAGCTGTTAATACTGTGTTGGAATCAGCATAGCACAGGGCTTTGGATTGCGTCAGCTTGGGCTGAAATGTCAACTTCGATACTGACTTTATGGATAATTTTTGGCAAGATGCTTCATTCCTGAGCCTCAGTTTCCTCGTATTTAAAATGAAGAATAATAAATCTCACACGTATTTCTATGAGTGACTGGAGCAGTGTAAGTGTACAACATGTCGTGGTAATTATTTCCTCTCACCATAAGTCAGTACTTGATCTTTCACTCTCTCCCTTCTCGTCCCCATACCCCACTCTTTTAGCCATATCCTCATAGCTATTTTTGTGATCTTGGTTAATGTAAGCCAACCACTGAGAGATGGAGTCATTCTTATTGTACCAAAAATATGAGGTTTTTGTAGACTATATGTCCAATGATCAGACCCTGAATCATGGTGAATTCAACAAGGATTTTAAAAGTCTTATGGGAGCCTAGCTGAGTGACCAGTTTTCCTTCTAGGTATAATCCCTTTTACCTCACTGAACAGCTTCTGGAAAAAGCTGAGAAGCTTTGGAAAAAATTCCAAAGTCATTGCTTTCTGACTTTGGAGTGCATTACAAAATGCTTCGCGTGTGGGACTTACCATTCTATTTCCATTTTTGGCTCAAAATAACATTAGAGCAAATCTGTATTCTTTGGGAAAACATTAGACAATGGGGGTTAACATGGATATAATGAGGGCTGGCTATATATAGGAGAGCTGATTTGAGATTGAGAACTGACGACAAAGTTGCCTTGCAGTATGGTCTAGTCAGTGACCCTTATGAAGATCAGAGACTGCATATAAAGTGTTTCGTAGATGAGATGGCTTGGTAAAAAGTAGGCACTCAAGACATGGTAGCTGCTATACTATCAGGAGCCTAGCAGTCTGAGTCCAATACAATACTTTGGATCACTATAAGAATAAACCTTCATTGTTTGGGGGACGAGGGCTGTGTCTAGTGAAGACCAGTGGGGACTGTGATGTAATTCAAGGTGTAGACTGGAAGACAGTTTAAGACCATTCTGAGCCATTCAGAATATGGAGAATGGTAACACCTCCTCCTCTCCAATATTCAGCAAACGCCACAGTCCAATTTTCTAAGCATCTCTGGTAGCCCCTCAGAAGGTCAGGCATGCTGCCGGCAATCCCACCGTTAACTTCACCCTGGCCCCTTGATGGCTGCATGTAGCACATATTATGCTACATAAATGTCTTTGGGACACAGTATCTGGTTTCCACCTTGTGGCCTCACTCACTGAAAAGGATGACACTCTGCAGCCCTATGGGAATGGTCTGGGCAAGCTAACCCTCACTAGGCTGCTAGAGAGCAGGGGAATGAAATCAAACGGCAGGAGAAGCTATGAAAGCTCCCAGGTTTCCATGCCTGATCTGATCTCTTGCAATTTAGCCAAAAAAAGTCAAGAAGTATCAAACAGAAGCTAGATAATCTCAAAAAAGTGCTTACTTGTTTATATCCTTTTTTATGTCCTTTGGATCCTCTACCAGTCTGTTCTTTTCCATGCCTTTAGAAAGTGGGGGGAAAAGTGATCATGAGGAACATATTAAGCCCATACTCCCATTTTCACTTAGTTAACAACTCACCTCCTCTAGGAATTGTGACCCTCTTAAGTCAGATGCCCCTTCTCTGTGCTACCTCTGTGTGAACCTCTCTCTGTCATTTCTAAACTACACTAAATTGCTCTATGTCCCAGAATCCTCCTCTAGGGGCAAAACCTTTTTCATCAAGGCAGGGCATTTAGCATGTTTCCTGAACTAAACTGAACACTGGCTTTCAAAACGGAAGGTTAGTTAACGCCTCTTACCTTAATAGGATTCAATAGCTGGGCATTTTCCTAAGGATACCTGACTGACACTAGCTCATACCAACCTATTCGAATACATACCCCTTTCCTGGCCCACCGACAGAAACCACCTGCATGCCAAAGGAGCCTCGGCCCCTAGAGGATCTGCTGCCAGCCCACTGGCCCACAACCATCCCGGCAATCTCCAGTTTTCCTCCTTGGGGTGGGATTGGATGGAGACCTGGAAAGAGAGGAAAAATGGCAGTAAAGAGTAGTAAGTGAAAGGTAGGATAAGAGGCAGAACAAAAGATTCTACAGCCCACCTACTCTGCTTATTTCCATTTCTTTATGATAAAGACTCCATGATAACAACAAAGGGTCATGGTGGAAGCAAATTTAGGGATGGGGTTGAAGATCTGTACACACCCACTTTAGCAAATGTAGTGTGGATGATTCATTTTTCAACTACAGAGCCTGGCACAGAGTAGGCATTCAATATTTGTTGACAGAATAAATGTCTTAAAATTTAATTATTGGAAAATTATAGGCCCAAACCACTTCTGATTTAAGTATGTATCACTACACACTGGAGGATTAGCTAAACAACCAAATGAAACAGAAAATAATGAAACTAACGGTAATTTATCATTAAAAAGCAAGAATAGTAATCGTGGAAAACCAGAACTAATTCAAGACAAGACAGCATGATATTGCCTTAAAACAGGAAATTCCAACTCAGTGTGTATGAGTTCACAGGCACAGTAGAGCTTTGTAATTTGGCACAAAAGGAAGCCTTCATAGAACAGAGTTCTAGTAATTCTAGTTCTAAAATTAAAAACCTTTCATTTTACTTTGTGGAGAAAACCCAAATGTTAATAAACCTTCACTTATTTAGCAGGTCATTAGTAACGAGCCCTTCGTATACATAAAATTGGGAGTCTGAGGAACTAGGGTGCTAGCTAGTCCTAAACGGGCAAGAAAGACTTGCATTTGGGGATCTTGTGGCTTTTCAGGAGGGAGGAGGCTCCTCACGAACGCCTAGTAACTCGAGACTAGGCATCACCGGGAGCTGGGGCAATGGTGAGGACCTCCTGAGAACCTAGCCTTAATTAAATCTGTCTTCTGAGACACAGTAAAATCAATAAGCAAAGAATGAGAGAGGAATCCGTAAAGTCACCTTAAGGCATGGAATGACTCCCTGGTTTTTAAGAGTTAATCATTACCTGACCAAACAGGGTGTTACCAGAGCAGACATCAACTGCTCATCTAAGCATAGCCTTGAGCTAAACATCCATACTGAATTCTGTGACCTTAAAGTTAACAAACTTCAATTTCCAGCTTTTTTTTTTTTAAATTTTTTTATTGTTAGTTTCAGGTGTACAGAACAATGGAATAGTTACCCTTTTCACCCTCACAAAGTAACAACCCCCTCCCCCCCCTCCACTGCCCTCCCACCCCCGATATCATGCTTATCTATTACAATTCCATTGAATCCGTTTCCGCACTCTACTCCATGTCCCGAGGTTATATATATGTATATCCAGCTTTATTTTTAAAGTGCTGAACAATAGACAACAAACACCTTAAACCATAGCAATGACACTCCCACCTTATCACAGAATTTGTATTTCATGTTAAAATGTCCCTATTAAAATATCCTGTTTCACCAGGGGACAGGTTGTTTCCATTATCAGGATCAGTATCTGAGCTACCTAAGCATGACTGTCTATTCATCATTAAGCCACAAGTCAAGTCACCATAATTTAATAATTTATATGTGTGTATATGTGTGTGTGTGTGTCTGTGTGCGTATTTGTTTTCCCCATTAAACCACAATCCCTGGAGGGTGTGATCTGTGGCTTATTTCTTTCTGTGCTTCTGAAAATATGTCAGATCTATCCCCAGAATGGAAATGGGTACATCAGACTATGGTCATCTGCCAACACTGGTCATTTACTCTTACCCCCCACTGCTCTTCCTGCAGCTCCTCTGTACATCTGCCCATGGGGACTGAATGTTCTAACCAGAAACCATGAAGATTGAGTTCACATGAGTTATAGTTCTCAAAAGTAATCAAGTGGCTCCTGGTTTCTGTATCAGTTACTTCAGAAGTTTGGTTGGTGAGAATCAAATCCTGAGAGACCAACCACCTCTATGGACAGTGGTCTGGAAAGTCAGTGGACTTTCTTCCCCAGGCTACACCCCTCCATCTCAATAAGCTCCTCTTCAAACTATCATAACATAGCACAAAAGGTAAATGAGATAAATGTATGTGAAACTGCTGATTCTGTAACTGGCAATAATTACTATAGTGGTTATTATGAAATAGATTGAGGATGACAAATACCTCATTTTTAGGTACTGACCTGCAAAGCCCCGGCTCCTTCCTTGAGGCGGAGGTGGCACAGAGCCCATGGCTCGGGAATAAAGTGAAACAGGGTAGAGAGAGGGCACCATGGGAGGCATAAAAGTAGGTGACGGAAGGAGAGCAGAAGGTGGTGGATGGCTCATGTTGACTCCTTCAAGGATACTCTGTCTCATCTTTTCCACTTTGGTTGCCAGGTCAGCCTTCGAACAAGGAACAGAATAATAACAGCAGCTGCCACGTTTGAACTTCTATGTTTCAGGCACAGTATTTATTGGGCACTCTAGGTACAAACTCAGAAGCCTATTCCCGTTAAGGGAATCAAGGTCTGGAGTTAAATGACCAAGGTGACACACTCAGGAAAGCTTGTCTGGCATCAAGGCCCCCACTCTTCATACCACACCACACTGCCACCATACTAGTTCTGATCTAGGGCTTGTGAGGCACACTGACTAGGTCAAGAAAGACAAATATAACAATAAGTATTTACTGATGGTCTATTACATGGCCAGCAATAGGCTGGGCCATTTTTTTAGAGGGAGGTAACAGAGAGAAGAACAAAACCCTGACATATACAAAGCCTTTCAATCTTGTCCCCCATACCCAGGATCAGGCACCCCAACCTGTCCAAGATAGGTCCATGCCTCTAGGCCAGAGGTCGGCAAACTTGTCCTGAAAAGGGCCAGATAGGAGATATTTTAGGCTTGGTGGGCCATATGGTCTCTGTTATAAATATTCAACTCTGCCATGTCAAATAAATGTGGCTGTGTTCCAATAAAACTTTATGGGAATAAAAATTCCAAATTTTGGAATTTGGGGGTAGTCTGCCGACCCCTGCTCTGGTCCTTCAGCTCATTCCTCCCAAAGGGATAAGGGTTCCTTTCCCTTGCCTTCCCTCATTTTCCCCAAATTTCATTGTAAAAAAAAATAAAAATAAAAATAAATCCCCTACTCTTTACTCTGTTATCTACTTCACTACCCACTTCTATTTCCAAACATAGTTCCATTACAAAAATATTACTTGATAAAGTGATTTACCGTTTTTGTAAATAAGGGAGATGAAATTCTAAGAATTGGAGGAAAGACATATAGTATATCTGGGCATTCCATGGGGAAGAAATGCTCAGAGTAAGAAAGGGTATATGAAAACATGAAGCTCATTTTTAAAAAGCTTTCCAATATATGATTTTTTGACATGTACATATCAGACTCTGGGCCTCTGGGACTATCACTGACCAAGTTAGGACAAGGTCAGCCACATTCTCCCACTTCTGCTACCTCCCTCCCCACTGTCTCTGCTGTTCCCATCCCTGCCCATTCACCCCCACAGCAAATCAGAGATGGCCCTTAGCACTTGCCCAACATCCTGGTACCTGGCCATCACAAAGCTCAACGAGGGATGCTCGCTCTCGGCCTGCTTTAATTAGCTTGCTCTGGAACAGCTTGCCATCGAAGTAAATCCAAGGGCAGCAGTGCTCCCAAGGGACTGGCTGACCACAGGCATCATTAGCAAACAGAGCTGTGTCGACCCCGCTCATGAAGAGGGCAGCAAGCTGGATACCTCGAGCATCCAGTTTTTCAATCTAAAACCACCACAGAGCAAAAAGATATTAAGAAATTACTGTTATTGGTTACATTTACTCTTATTCCTGTTATGCTGATTATTCGAGTTAAATTTGAACATGTTGCCTTTTAATATAAACATTTGAGTGCACAAGCAGCTTCTATCCATTTCTTCCCTGAGATGGTCTGAAAGATACTCATTAAGAAAACAACAAAAAAAGACATCTGTTTTGAAACTTTAAAAAGACACCAACTTGAGATACCAGGTTTTTTTTTTTGGCTTGTCAAATTAGGAAAAAAAAAACACTAAAGACCAAAAGTATACCCAATGCTGCTGCTGATGCAGTGAAATAAGTGGGCATGTTCATACAAAGTTAATGAGGAATGTATATTGCAATTAAGCAATATGTATAAAGAACTTTGAAATGTTCACATTTGTTCACTCAAATTCTACTTTTAGGAATCTATTTTAAGGAAGTAGTGATGTATAAAGAACTTCTATGCATAAAGAAGTTAATTGTAACATTACACATAATGGGGGAAAACTACTATAGAAACAAAAGGGCCAATATTATAATAATAAATGATACATCTAAATGATAACATGTTATTTACTAAATTTTTTTAAAACAGAAAATATGTGCTATTTTAAGTAAAAAACAATGTATAATTATAAACAATATCTCAGCTATGTAAAAAGTACATGATGAACGACTGGAAGAACCATCAAAATGTTCACAGTGGAGGGCCAGCCGAGTGGCTCAGTTGGTAAGAGCGTGAGCTCTGAACAGCGGGGCTGCCAATTCCCACATGTGGCAGTAAGATGCGCCCTCTAGAGTTAAGACTGTGAACAACAGCTCAACCTGGAGCTGGGCTGCCGTGAGTGGCCATCGACAATGTAGGCCGGCAGCCAGCGTGAGCAGCAGGCAGCCTGTGAGAGCTGCCGTGAGCCGCCATGAACGGCCATCCAATGGCTGGCGACCGATTGCCTCAGCCGAGAAGAGCGCAATGATCATAATACCAACATGGGTCAGTGAAGCAGTGTCCTCCACAACTAGACTTAAGAAGAAAAGGACAATAACTTGGCTGTTCCCCTCCCCCAATTCCCCAATAAAATCTTTAAAAAAAATGTTCACAATGGTTATCTCCCCTTGGTGTGTTACATGGCTTTAATAGGAAAAGGGGATGTGCTTGCAGGTCCCCTCCTAGGTGTGGTCTCAGGTCAGTAACTGCTGTAGCACCAAGAAACATGACATTTATAGTAAAAAGGAATCATCCATTGTTTGTCTTAGACTGTTTTGTCTTTCCCTTACTTGACCTCACTTAAATTAGGATTTTCCAAGTCTTGTTGGACTTGACTTTCTTCTAGTTTATCCTAGGGCCTCAAAGGTCTATGGCTACTGAAGCTGGGAGAGAGGGGTATCCTGTATTAATAGCTAAAACTTATTGAGTACTGTGTATTTAAAATAAGTGAGGCACCATTCTAAGTGTTTTGCATCCATTATTTTATTTAATGTCCTCATAATTCTAAAAGTAAGGAAACTAAAGCTAGAGAAGTTAAATGACCTGCCCAAGATCACATCAATAGGCGGTAATGAAGCCAGGATTCAAATTCAAGGAAGCCTGGCTTCAGAGCCTGCCCTCTGGCTTACTATGTTCTACTGCCTTCAGTTATACAGTGGATTTATTTTCTTCCTTATGCTATTCTAGACTTCTTTTAACACCCAGTAAGTATTATTAAAAGAGGAGGGTGTCCATCGACAGATGAATGGATCAAGAAGATGTAGTATATATACAATAGAATGTAATTCAGCCATAAAAAAGAAGGAAATCTTGCCATTTGAGATAGCATGGCAGGGCCTTGAGGGTATTATGCTGAGTGAAACATACCAGACAGAAAAAGATAAATACTGTATGATCTCATTTATATGTGGGACCTAAAACAAAACAAAACAAAACAAAAACAACCCAAACAAACTCATATTAAGAAAGATCAGATTTGGGCCAGCTGAGAGGCTCAGTTGGTTAAGAGTTGGCTTGGGAGCGTGAGCTCTGAGCAACAGCGGCTCGATGCCCAGCGCGAGCTGAGCTGGCGCTAAGCTGCCTATAGGTAGCAGGATGGCTCAGCTTAAAAAAAAGTACCATATTTCCCCATGTATAAGACGCACTTTTTCTAAAAACTGGGTGTGTCTTATACAGTGGTTGTAGATTTCACATGCCATAGATGGAACAGAGGACGAGGCAATATATGAAGACAGTGATTCGTCATCAGACACAGATGAATACAAGCTAAGGGTTGGGAGTTTTGACAGTGATGAGGAGTTGTATGAATTTTATGATGAACGAAACTTGAGTTCTATAGCTTTATGTAATACTTTTTTTTTTCAAATTTTAGGCCCAAAAATTAAGGTGCATCTTATACATGGGAAATACGGTATTTGTCTTGCATAATAGTCACCTTTTCTATCCATTCTCACCCATCAGCATGGGAGCGCTGTTGTAGATACCTCCTGGTTTTATTAACAGACATAATATTTGGTTAAAGTAAATCAAACATTTACCTATAGAACTTATTCTTCTTCCTAGCTCAAGGCAAAAAAGACCACAAGTAAAGCTATGAGCTCATGAAATAAAGGATTTAGATGAGGGTAGATCAAATCACCTTGAGTTCTTGCAGCTGATCTGGTTCATATAGCTGGGTAGATACTGCCTGTGCAAGGAAGGTGTCTAGCTCATGACGATGCAGGATTCGGCCACCAGGCCACTGAACCATGTACCTAGAAAATAAAAGCATCATTATTCAGTCATAAAAGCTTGTTTAAACTAAGAAACTATCATGGCCAAATCCTATGCTAGGTTTTTGTGATTCCAATGGAATAAAGTAAAAGAATCTCTGCATTGGGTTAGTTACTGTCTGGGTAGTAGAGGAGATAAGGCACGTACAACAACTAGTGTACGTTGGTACTTAGTGTGTTAAGTACCAAGACAGAAGAATGCTACAAGAGCACAGACGAGGGGTATGACTAAAAGAATAAGGAAGGGCATTCTGAAAAAAAAAGTCAGCAGGAGTTGAGTTTCAAAGGGCATGTAGAAATTAATGAGACAAAATGTAGGGAGAGGATGTTCTAAGTTGAAGGGACAGTATGAACAAAGGCACAGAGTTCAGCATGAGATGTCAGGTTAGATAATGCTGGAGCTAAGCAGGTTTGCACTGATGGGAGGTGAGATTAGAAAGTAGCTCAGATCATGAAGGGTCTCGAAAACAGTATTGAGGAATTTAAATCTTTATCCTGAAAATATAGGAAGATGGTTAAGGACTGTCAGCAGGAGAGTGATATTGACTGGTTTGAAGATGACAGGCTGAGAGTGTAACAGACAAAAGGCATGGATACCAGTTGGGAGGCAACTGTAGCAATGTGTGGCCCAAGAGGCCTGAACAAGGGCGCTGGCTGAGGGGATGGAGAGGGCCAGGAGACAAAGAGCTATTAAGGAGATAAATCCACAGGATTTGGTCATGGGTTTTTATGGGAAGGGGATAAAGGTAAGGAAAGAGTCTAAGATTCCTAAAATTCTGGCTTGGGCAGATGGCTAGATGATGGAGCCACTTGCCAAGATAAGAAATGCACTAATTTTAAATAAGTATTCACTGATGAGTATTTGAATTGAATTTCATAAGTAGAATATGCCTTACTGTTCTAGGCACTGAGAATACAGAAAGAGGAAGAGAGAGAGAAATAAAAAAAAATACATCAGTACAAAGTCTGTCGTTAGCTCCCTGAAGGCCCCACAAGACAATGTTCATAATTATTGGAGTTGTGTGAGACTTCAAAAACTCATCACTTAAAGCAATAGCTGGTCTCTTTAAGTGGCACATGAGATGGGTTCCTGGGGACTCTGGCCATGTTACTACTACCAGGAGGCAGTGTGGTGCCCTGGGAAGAACCGGGGCTCTGCAGCCAGACAGCCCTGCTTCAAATCTAGCCTGCTGTTCCTCACCTGGAATGATCACAACAGCGCAGGCAGCCCTAATGTCAGTTACTTTCTTCAAGCCCAAACTACCCGGGATGGTTCTGGGATTGCAGGACATGCTATCAAGCCCTGTTGCTTCTTTTTTAAAAAATTTTATTGGGGAACAGCCATGGTCATTGGTTACACATTGCTTTCATGCTTCAATGGCATATTTGACTCTTTTAAGGAGGGCACAGCTCACAGTGGCCCACGTGGGGATCGAACCGGCAAGCTTGGTGTTGTCAGCATGATGCTCCAACCAACTGAGCTAACCAGTCACCCCCAACCCTGTTGCTTCTTTAGGAACTAAATTCTAAATGACTGGGATTTCCAGAGGAAATCTTCCTGGGCCACACAAACTTCCCTGCTCACACATTTTCCACTTGAAGTTTCTTCTTTATATTTTATACTTTTTTGACATTCTATCATATATTGCATAACTCATAGCTTATATCTTCTACCAATATAAAATATTTGTGTTCCTCAATGCTTTATTTTTTGCCTCGAGGACTGTATTATCTAGTAATGTTGTTTATTTGTTTTGATTTGTAGTCCTTTGCCCATTCTTTTATTTTTAATCTTATCATTTTATTGGCAAAATGTGAAGCAAAAATAGAAGAAAATGAACAGAAATGCAATTACAGTGGGGGGCTTTTGTATACTACCATCAAGCTATGACATACAAAATCCACCTAAAATACATTTAAAGTCACAGAAGATTTGAAAAATACAATAAATACATTCAAATGCTTGGCTGACTTTGTACAAAGAAAACACATTCTTTTCAAGTGACCATGTGAGTTCCCATGAGGCCTAGGACCTTGATTGTTTGCCCTTGTCTATTGTCCTATTTATTTATCATTCCAATTTATTGTGAACTATCTAGCAAAGCGCATGGCATAGAGTATATATCAGTAAATATGTATTGGGGGAATGACTGAATGCATCAATCAGGTCATACCAAAACCCAAAAACCAAAAAAACCTCAACAAAAATCCTCCAAAGCAGAACTGTACCGGTCACACCCTGACCACTATGAAAGATAAACTCACCTAGAGTCAAGCGTGGAGACAGGCACGCTCACAGACAGACTAATACAATGGGAGGGGTGTGATTTTTATAAACTGAACAGATTATCCTGAGTCTCTAAGGAGAGAGTTACTAAATTTATCTGGGAGAATTGGAGAATCACAGAGAAGGAAACATTTCATTTCCTAGGGATTTTTTTGGTTTGGTTTACACTTTTTTTTTTTTTTGAATAGTTCATTCTTTTTTATTTATTTATTTATTTATTTATTTATTTATTTATTTATTTATTTATT